TGCAGCAGCAGGGAAGGTAATATACACATACAGTATTGTTCAAAATAATAGCAGTACAATGTGACTAACCAGAATAATCCAGGTTTTTAGTATATTTTTTATTGCTACATGGCAAACAAGTTACCAGTAGGTGCAGTAGATTCTCAGAAAGCAAACAACACCCAGCATTCATGATATGCACGCTCTTAAGGCTGTGCAATTGGGCAATTAGTTGAAAGGGGTGTGTTAAAAAAATAGCAGTGTGGCATTCAATCAGTGAGGTCATCAATTTTGTGAAATAACAGGTGTGAATCAGGTGGCCCCTATTTAAGGATGAAGCCAGCACTTGTTGAACATGCATTTGAAAGCCTGAGGAAAATGGGTCGTTCAAGACATTGTTCAGAAGAACAGCGTACTTTGATTAAAAAGTTGATTGGAGAGGGGAAAACCTATAAAGAGGTGCAAAAAATTATAGGCTGTTCAGCTAAAATGATCTCCAATGCCTTAAAATGGAGAGCAAAACCAGAGAGACGTGGAAGAAAACGGAAGACAACCATCAAAATGGATCGAAGAATAACCAGAATGGCAAAGGCCCAGCCAATGATCAGCTCCAGGATGATCAAAGACAGTCTGGAGTTACCTGTAAGTACTGTGACAGTTAGAAGACGTCTGTGTGAAGCTAATCTATTTTCAAGAATCCCCCGCAAAGTCCCTCTGTTAAAAAAAAGGCACGTGCAGAAGAGGTTACAATTTGCCAAAGAACACATCAACTGGCCTAAAGAGAAATGGAGGAACATTTTGTGGACTGATGAGAGTAAAATTGTTCTTTTTGGGTCCAAGGGCCACAGACAGTTTGTGAGACGCCCCCCAAACTCTGAATTCAAGCCACAGTACACAGTGAAGACAGTGAAGCATGGTGGTGCAAGCATCATGATATGGGCATGTTTCTCCTACTATGGTGTTGGGCCTATTTATCGCATACCAGGGATCATGGATCAGTTTGCATATGTCAAAATACTTGAAGAGGTCATGTTGCCTTATGCTGAAGAGGACATGCCCTTGAAATGGTTGTTTCAACAAGACAATGACCCCAAACACACTAGTAAACGAGCAAAGTCTTGGTTCCAAACCAACAAAATTAATGTTATGGAGTGGCCAGCCCAATCCCCGGACTTTAATCCAATCGAGAACTTGTGGGGTGATATCAAAAATGCTGTTTCTGAAGCAAAACCAAGAAATGTAAATGAATTGTGGAATGTTGTTAAAGAATCATGGAGTGTAATAACAGCTGAAAGGTGCCACAAGTTGGTTGACTCCATGCCACACAGATGTGAAGCAGTTATAAAAAACTGTGGTCATACAACTAAATATTAGTTTAGTGATTCACAGGATTGCTAAATCCTAGAAACAAAAACGTTTGTACAAAATAGTTTTGTGTTTGTACAGTCAACGGCAGACACTGCTATTTTTTTGAACACACCCCTTTCAACTAATTGCCCAATTGCACAGCCTTAAGAGCGTGCATATCATGAATGCTGGGTCTTGTTTGCTTTCTGAGAATCTACTGCACCTACTGGTAACTTGTTTGCCATGTAGCAATAAAAAATATACTAAAAACCTGGATTATTCTGGTTAGTCACATTGTACTGCTATTATTTTGAACAATACTGTAGCTGATTCTCAGTTATTGTTTCTGATGATCTTACTACTTGATTTACTTCACATGCCTTTGTTTTTTACTGAAAACAAGAAGCAGGAGTCAAAACATCCAGACAGCACAAATACTTACTGGAAAATGTGCTTTGGAGTTGAATTCCCAAATTTCTCCTTTCTTTTGAAGGCTGAGTTATGAAAATGACAGTGATGAAATCACAAAAAGCAGAATGCCTGTGCCATAAAAGGGTTGTAATTATAAAGGTAAGGTCAATGGAAAAAAGCCACTGAAATGAAGAACAGCACGTACTAAAACTGTGTAGTACAAGGTTTGATGAAATGCTCCCCTCTAGAGTTCAATCCACAAAATTGCAACTGAACTATTCTCCTTGTTGTGTTGACTGACAAAACATTGTACTTTGATGGGAAATTGAAGGTTTGATGAAACAAGGCCGTTATGTAGCTTATAATGTGCTAGATGAGCATAATAAAAAAACTGGAGGTGACAGGGTACAGACACCATAATATAAAGTTGGTGAGAGGGTCAATAGGGGCCCAAGAGCCCATTTTTGCCCCAGAGCCATCTCAGTGTTAAACGTTAAAGACGTTGCCATTTCCATGGCTCTGAAAAACAAAGTAAACTGCTGATGACACACATATTCCAGAAGCTAATAAAACAGTCACTATGTGAGTGGAGTCTTATTTTTGATTCATGGCATCTTTTACCTCAATCAGCAACTAAATCAATAGAAGTACACCAGGTTGATCTTCTTAAACATAAACAACAGAATGGTGATCCTCTCTTGTTTTGCTTTTTTTATACAGTAGTTAAAGAATTTTACAGAACATCATAGTTCACAGTCGAGCGGATTTGCCAGGTTGCTTAAAAATATATTCATTGTCCTTTTCAGCACCAGCCAACCTTAAGGTGCTGATGAGAGGCATAAAAACTCAGTAAAGTGTATTAACTCCCATCTGGAAATAGTCCACAACTAATGCTCAATTTCCTCCTGCTTGAGTTGTCTTTGCTAAAAGCACATATTTTAGGAAATTTCTGAATCTTTAAAGAAAAGTATTTTAAAAATGATTTCTGAAAATGATACCTTCATTAGGAATCGCCAGGCTTGCAGAGTCTTAATTTCTAAAATGGAATATTATGACCATGCCTATTTCCCACTCCTCACTTGCTGTGTGCTCTTATTCCAATAGATGGCACCATTACACAAGGTCAGGTTAACTATGTGCTGACAGAAACACGCATTGAAATACTGTGCTAAACACACATACTGCAAGGTCTAAATATGTCATATATAATTGATATAATATGAAAACAAGAGACAAATATCACACATGAGGACACACACATAAACACCTATTAATCTCACAAGGTACTTTGCCACTGCATGAGTACTGCTCCCCACAGCTGCTAGCACCGCCTGCCCATGACTACAGTACTTTAGCACATACACACATGCAAGGAGACATTCACACACAAAATTCATAAAGCCTAAATCCACGCATACTCACATATGTAATACACATATATAGAAACACAGAGCTTGTCAGCCTCTTAGCTGCTGCTAACAGATGACAGGAGGCTGTGGGGTGAAGGAAGGTAGTATGAATGCTGTGGAAGCAGAGGCAAAAATACAGGCTTGTTTAGACACTATCCAGATGTGCTATGTGTGTTCTGAGTGCACTGTGCAGCCAGAGGATATGACAGAAAGACTGAAGTGGGTCCATCATTAATTAGATTTCTGTGTGAAGTATCAAGTATGTGGAAACATTTAGGAATGTTCTTTTGTTCCTCTGCTATCAGTTTATTTAGACAAGTACAAATACAGCCTTACTGAAGACTAAATCATCATATGCAAAAATCTTTGTCTGTTCCTCCTCTAAATCATACACTCACTCTCACAGACTTGTCTTGGCCTGGTTTCACATGAATATGCTAGCTTGAGGGCGGATGTGTTTCTGCCCAGAGTGAGTAACAGAGCTTTTAATGGAGAACGAATGAAAGCTTCAATAGTTAAAGCAATATCTGGCCTTGAAAACAGGACTCTTGAATGGCGCGCACACAGGAAGTCAGTGCAATAACATACTCTGCTATGGAACAATAATTTCTTTGCTTGTCTTGTGGAGATATCTTGTGGTTTGGCTCCATGAATGGCAATGATAACTGCTTGGTTGATCAGTCTGAAACAACTACTGACATTTCTTGCTATGTAATTTTCTGTATACATTCATGCTGACCAGAGGAAGGATCCAGATGACTTTAATCATGTCCAGACTTTTCCTCTAGCATCAACATCAGGCCAGAGTTTTCACTTATCCTGTGAAATCTTTCAATATTTACTAGGTGGATTTATTACCATGTTTGGGATTCAAATTTGGTATGCTAATATGCTAAACTGAGATGGTGAACATTATAAAACTACACCTACTTGTCATCAGCATGTTAGCATGCTGATACTAGCATGACATAAGTCTCTTAAGCCACTCGAACCTTACTTAACAGTTCTTACTAGTCTTCATTGACCAAACAGAGGACACAGTGTTCAAAAGCTAGGACCTCAGGTCCAAAAAAAGGGTTTGTAAAAACAGTGAGTGTTCAAAAGCTAGGACCTCAGGTCCCAAAAAAGGGTTTGTAAAAAGAGTGCCATAGGGATGATGTTCTTTGTAGGCCAGCCCTGGAATTAGCCTCACAGTTGGGACCAAATATACAGTATGCGCTCATCTTCATTCATTTTTAGCAGAGCAGCAGAGATGTTTCTATATTTTTGTCCTCCCCAGCTACATACATGAGTGGGTCAGAATATTAGAAACACCTCTGAATATAATGTAGTCCAGTATAACACTACCTTTAACAATGACCTCACAAATAAATATATAATTGAATTTATACATTTATGACAATTTGACTAAAAACTAATATTTTGAGCTCCATAAATACAGATGTTAAGGTGGAAGTGTTGCACTGCATTGTATACAATTGTACAGGTGTACCTAATAAAGTGGCCAGTTAGTGTATACAGTATGTGGTGTTTGGAGATTTCGTATCATACCTGCATGTAAATAAATAATTTACAAATGAAAATATGCATTTCACATTATTTTGGGGGTTAACTTAAAGTAACCTATTCCTTCTATTGCCATCACTGCATTTAGTGCAAATTAGCAGGATTGTGAACTGATTGTACTATTTCTTTTATTGTTGTGCATGACTGTTTCTCTCCTCACACAGAGACAAAGGGCCGTAAAGTTTACCAAGGGGCGCGTGCGTGGACTAATGTTGGTCCGTTTGGTAAGTCCTTGTCATGGAAACGCTCATTGCTCATTCACACGTGAAAGAACATTTGTTGGTCGAATTTCAAATTCAAGGTTAACAGAGGCGGAAACGCGCTTTGATGCAAATTTTCCCCCGTTGCTGCTGCGTACGTGAACGCGCTCCGTCGCTGTCATCAGTACAACATCAGCATCTTCCTGGGGGCGCGCAGAAAAACGGGAGGAGGACAGCGAAAGAAAGAAAGAGAACGAGAGGAAGAGGAGACATACTGGATAAAAGCTCCAACAAAACCATGCTGATGATAGAGTCGAGGCGGTGGAGGATGTCGGACATAGGAGAGCGGACTGTTGAAATTTGACAGAGGGTTTGTGAGGAATCCTGTTCTCGATTTTTTTTAATGTATCATTTCCACATGCTGCGTGGACAGTGAAGGCGAGCAGAGGAAGGGGAGCACCCCCGGATGCCTCGGAAGGAAAAAACGTGGTCCACTGCTGGCACTACAGGCAAACTATACGCATTTCAACTGACGGATGGTAATAAAGGACATCCTGAAGATCGCTGTGTACTGATGGATGAGGATGAAAAACAGCTTTAACCCTTCCGCCTGACGACTGTGAAATAAAGAAAATCATTTTTTGATTGATTTTTTTTTCCCATTCATAGTGTAGCCCGAAGGAAACGAGCCTTAGCAATGTTGAACCACTGCTCATGGTAAATTATTAATTAGCGGTATAGGTATTTTTTTGATTCATTATTGCTTCGATGTAGCATTCCTCCCCATTCATTTTTACTATGTTTAATCCTGTGAGATCACACACCTATTTGTAGGTTACATTTGCATTGCGTGGTTATGTAGGCCCACTTAACAGCCTTTAACAGCCACATCAAAATTGCCAAAGCAGGGAGAATCACAGTGCAGGAAAGCTTTGACACAGAGCACGAAAAAATATATGATCTGAAAGTGAGGGGTGTTGAGCTGTCTGGGATTTTTAAAGATTTACATTTTTTGCATGTAAGAGTGTGAAAAGGAGGAGGACGGGGGTGGAAAGAGAGTTATAGAGAGGAAAAAATACACCAAACATGTTGCCTTCCCAAGAAGCATCCAGGATATACCACGACAATTATATGCGCAACTCCCGAGCCATCGGGGTGCTGTGGGCCATCTTCACCATCTGTTTCGCCATCGTAAACGTGGTGGTGTTCATCCAGCCCTACTGGATCGGCGACAGCGTCAACACGCCGCAGGCCGGCTACTTCGGCCTCTTCCACTACTGCGTAGGCACCGGGCCGTCGTCCAGCCGGGAGCTCACCTGCGTGGGCAGCTTCTCCGACTTCAGCTCCATCCCGTCCGGAGCGTTCAAGGCGGCCTCGGTGTTCGTGCTGCTGTCCATGGTGCTGATCCTCAGCTGCATCGCCTGCATGGCGCTCTTCTTTTTCTGCAACACCTCCACTGTTTACAAGACCTGCGCCTGGATGCAGCTGCTGTGCGGTAGGCACGACTGTCACGTATGGTTTCTGGGTATTGTCTGTCTTGTCATTCACATAGTTGCATAAAACTGGGTCTTGTAATTAGGTAAAACCCACCCAAATCTCTACTGATCATCCTGTTTTATTTGCACTAATGCTAGCCTACATTGCAGTTGGGGAGGCAGGTATTAGTGTTGGCGTTATTGTATACAGTATAATCATTTAGGCTATGGTAATAGTCACATTTTAACTGATTCCTTTTCTGATGAAGCCTGATCATGATAAATCTGCACCGATCTCTGAGGTCAGTATGAGTACAACCTGCTCATGCTCAGAGAAAATTCAGAACATCATTTCATTTCTTGCCTAGGTAGATTTGAGCTGAACGGGGAATTCGACTGTGCAGCAGCTTCATTGCCGTCTTAGTTGACTGAAATCGATATACTGTAGTCTAAAAGGTACAGGCCATATCTTGCTGTGCACATTTTCCATTCTAGGACTGAATGCATTTTAGCAGCTGTGAAAGCAATAACAGCACCAGAGCTCCCACCACTCCTACCACTGATATTCCGAGGATACATAACTACATCTTGTCACTTAGAAAAAGCAGAAGCAGCAAGGATCATAGCTGTACATTGATGGAATGCAAATATCATCCATTCATCCATTTCAGTTCAGTGTCAGATGCTGTGTGGTGTGGAAATGTGAATTCCTGCAACTGTGGGCTTAGAACAACTGTATTGCTATTTTGAGGGATGATTCCAGGTCGAACAGATTACTGTTTTCAGGAAGGTGATGTTTTGTGTCCCACTCTTGTGGGTAGGTTACAGTTGTTGAAATGACACATGCAGGACAGAGGCCTACTGTGTCATGTTACTTTCACAGACAGTTGAATTGCTTAATTCTATTGAAAGGAGGATGTTTAACATTTAAAAATGGTGCAGCTTGATGGTTCAGTTTATTTTGAGAATGTCCCAGAGATAACACCCTTTTGGAGCAAGTGTCTTATTGAAAATATGGGTTTTTGTGGCACCATGTATAACATTATAGAAGAGGGTTTGTAACTAGCAACTCTGTATGAGCAGCCTGCATCAGGCTTCATTTGATTACTAAAAATCCTTCATCAAGTACAGTTCTCCTGTACTACCATTTTTAATATCATCTATTAATCTGCATTATTTTTGGAATACGGGGATGCTTCATTGTTTGGCATATAAAGATTGTGTGCAAATAGCAAAAAAATGCCCAAACAAGTTCCCAAAGATTATGCTGCCACCTTTAAATGTTTTCTTGTGTCCGTGCGACTGCACAAAACCCATAGATACTCAATTTTCTCTGATGGAAGATGAAGAAATCCAGTAAATATGTATTTAAGAAGCTGGAATCTGAGAAGTTTTCTGACTGCTGCTTAAAAATTACTCAATGATTCTCTTCTGAGTTGCAGATTATTGTTAACTGATTAACGAATCCAATCAACTAATGACTTTAGCTTTACTTTCCATACTTTTTAACAGTTGATTTCTTTCAGGATGAAGAGTACTGCCTTTTTCAATTTACTGCTGATTTCAGTGCCTGTTCCTTTTCTTTGCACCCAGATGCAACACTATTGTGAGAAAGGGGTTAAAATAATAGAAAACAAACAAACAAGCAAACAACAACAAAAATCATGACCTCTCTTACTCACACATTTCTACCAAGCCTCATGTGTATATCTAACTTTTTTATAAGATGATCAATGTGATAAACAGGCCAAGCAGAATAGCGTGGGAGTCAGTTTTCTGTACAGAAACAGTCAGCATACCGAATGAGGGAGGGAGACAGAAAAGGAGAGATCAGCACTTTTTTGCTTCTGCATTGTTCTTTTCCTCATGCACATCTGCCCACTCTGTCCTCTGTTCTGCCGAGTGTGTTGAAAGGGTTTGATGCTCTACAATCAGCACAAATCAGGCAGAATAGCAGAGGTGCAGGTTTTAATCTATCTAAATTTTTATGACTTTACAAGAACTGAAGGAACATCTACAAAGCATTAATCAATTACACCACTGGTTATAAGCAGTATTCCATTTTTTTAAAACTTATGGAAAAGTAGAAATAATGCAGTGTAAAGATTTTCAGTTACAACTAAAATCCCACATTTGCATGCTTTGATGGTCATTTTGATTTGTGTAGGTGCCAGAGAGAAGACTCTTTTGAGCATGGCAGTGTATTAGAAATATGGGAACACTTTGAAAGCACTCAGAGTAACATTAAAGGGGATGATTTGTAATTGGTACCGTCAATTTACGTTTCATTTGATTAATAAATATCGAATTTTAAAGTTTTCCTCTCCTCTGGGAATGAAACCCAAATTTATTTTGATTATCCATTAATGTACTGGTTATTTCCTCAATTAAATGTCTAATAATTGGTCATAATTTGGTCTATAAAAAAAAAAGCAAGAACCAGCAAAAATGACCATCACTGGTTCTCAGACAACAAGGCCATGTTTTAAACTGTATTTCTTTGTCAAACCAAAAACCAAACGATATTTAGTATACTATCATAGAGGACAAAGGAAACCAGTCCTAGCAGCACAATATGCTAAAAGTATTAAATGTTCAAATACTCACTTAGCAAAAACTATGACTGAAATATTATTTATGACATTAATAAAGTGTTTATGCAGGTAGAATTTTATTGTTGTAGCTGCTCAATGTCAAGCTAGTTTATACTCCTATTTTATACAGAGTTCATTAGTCGACTCCAGCAGCAGTTTGACCTCCAAGGGGTCAAAAGATAAATCTGAGCGGTCTGCTCCTTAGTGTGGCTCCCAGCATCTCATATCAATCTGAAATGTGACAGTCAGACACTGTCAACCTTTTCACAAGCCAAATAAGGTGTTGTATTTTATCATATGTTGTTTGTTATGTTAAATTTGGAGACAAAAAAAAAGTTATTTCCTTTTGAAACTACAAGAGTAGAAATACAAGTATTTGAACAATGGACTTGCACAAGTACAGTACTGGAGTAAATATGCTTAGTTACTTACTTAAACCTCACTAGTGCAGCACTGCCTCTCCCACTTCTGATTAAAAATATACATAATGATGATAATGATAAAAGATGCATCATGAAGAATTCCCCCTTAAAATTACTCTGAATGTTATGACTGTCAATGTCAGTAACCCCACATCCCTTGTATCCATCAAAACCTGACTAATGAGGTTAGAGGTCCAACTCTGCACAGCAGGAAGGCAAAATCCTGGAGGGCAGATACTTTATCTATGGTTCATGGCACATTTTTATTTTTTAATTACAAACAGAAAATCACATTTTGAATTTCTGTTTTCTAGTTGTTTGGGTTGGCTTCTGGTGATATAAATGAGTTTGTTCAGCAAAATCTCTTCAAGTCATAAAAAACACTGTGTGGGGGAAACATCTTGCAACTTACACAACTTAAAGTCACTCAGTGTATTAAATAACCTGGTTTTACTTCTGCTTAGTGAAATTAATCTGAACAAAACCTTTTTTTTTCATCATATGTAACATTTCTGAAAAGTAATCATCTGTCTATCAGGCATAAATGGTATAGGTAATGGAGGGATGGATGGATATCAGAGTTTGTGAAACCTTCGAAGGTTTTACTGTCCTTCCAGTGGATGTGTATGATGTGTGGTGCTGGTGAGTCGTCTAATAGCCTTGGCAAACAGCCTAATGGTGTTCATCGCCTTGGAGATGATCATTTAATCATCCACTCTGCAGTGCAGGGTGTAGCAGCAGGTCTCCTGGCACTGCACAGTGACAGAGTGTACCACAGCATATACAGTATGGTCCAGTTGGAACCAATGTTGGCATAGGACAAATGGAGCAGAAGTGTTAATTAGGGAGCAGTTTGGGTCCTGATCAAAATGCTCGGCTAGTGTGTGCTACAGGAACAAGACAGTAAACTATGCACCCGATTTTGTCATTGTCTGCTCAGCCTCATGTCAGCTGAAAACAACAGTCAAGTTTGAATGTCTGCAGAGGGCAGCAACCCCCAATCTTCCAGGCATCAAGATTCTGGGTGAGTGGTTCACCCAGACGAGGACACAATGCAACAATCCCACCAAAATATAATTACTGCATTTAACTCATGGGACTTGTTGGTTTATTGCCCAGCACAGAGGGATGGAGGCTTCTTGGCAGTGCAAAGTGACACGGTGTGTCTTGGCCTCTAAAAGCTGAAAATGGGCCAAAGCTGGCCTCTATGTATAGTGGAGTCACAATCTGATTAAGGTTAATCCACTTGAAAAATACTATAGAGGTGCCAACAAAGAGTGAATGTATTTACCAATAACTCAAAATGTAGCAATACTGACCTGCATAAAGGTTTACCACTGATTGCAGAACTACAGACAAAGCTGCAGGACATCAGGGAAGGAAACCCAACCATGAGCAAAAGGTCCACACACATAAAGCGTGACAGTGATTACAAAACTATGCACTATTAAAGCAGAGGCCTGAATCACAACACAAAATTACACAATGACCAATAGAGAGATTTCCAATAAATCAACATAACTAAATAGATTTCTACAATATTTATCTTAGGACACAACAATACATCCATTCTCAGATTACAATAGCACATTTAAGATAGTTTACTAGGCCAGCAGACCAACAAAAGGCAGTCATAGCTGCATTTCAGGTAGTGGTTATTGATTTGTTTTGTTTGTTTGTTTGTTTTTGCCAACAGGATTCCTGACAGTGTAGATGCTTGTAACCAAGAGGACAATAACTGGAAGTAAAAGGAATAACCACTGTTGCCTTTCAGATGACACACACACATAGTTTTAAATAGCACAATCCAGCTCTTAGTTCAGTAAATTTTAAATGTTTGGTCAGACAGACCTTACTTTTTGTTGCAGAGATCTGTAATTTTCCTTTCTGTTTTGGCAACTGAAACAGCCTTATGTTACTTACTGTACAAATAGCAACTTCACTATAAAAAATAAACTGATCATCTATGAACAGTCCCAAAAAATTCCCACAATTATTTATAGC